TTTGAGGCAGGAATTGTCACGGTGGACCATTTTCATGAGCCCATTTTACAGATGAGTAAATGGAGGTGCAGAGAAGGCAGTCGTGGTTGCTAGGATTGTTGGCTCTTTTGAGCGATGCATGGAAGATTGGCGTGTACCTGGCTGTAAGAGCAGGAGAGGAGAGGGGACAGGGGACAGGGGAGAGGGGACAGGGGACAGGGGAGAGGGGACGGGACAGGGAGACAGAGAGAATATGAATGACAGTGTTTGCATGTCTGGGATCATCAACTCTGTATCAGCAGCGTGATAATATGAAATCTCTCCCCCTTGGAAAGAACAAAACCACTGGTATTTTTTTATAGGATCCTTCCCTCCAGCCTCTGGGTGGAAATGGCTCATCCGGACCCACCCCCCACAAACCATTAAGCACGCCCTTACTGGGGTCGTCTCCATTAACAAGTCACCATGCCCTCGGGTTTATGGGGGAGGCGGACACGGGGCCCTTGGAAGCCCCACCTAGGGTGTACGCTGCCCCCACGCCACCCCCCACACACACTCACTCACTGTCCTCCCCATGAACCATCTTCAGCTCTCTCTCTCTCTCCCGCCTTTGCCGTAGCTGGGAAGCTCAGCGAGGAGCCCTTCACCCTGAACTTCACCATCAAGAACCTGCGCTACTCATCGGACATGGGGCGCCCTGACTCCCTCAAGTTCAACATCACCGACGCCCTCATGCAGCACCTGGTGAGAGGCCTGTGCACCCCTCCACCCCACCCTCCCTATCCCAGGGCTGTTGCCTGCCTCTGACCAACACTGGGTCCCTTTTCCTTCTTCAGCTCAGCCCTTTGCTCCAGAGGGGCAGCCTGGGCACACTCTACGCAGGCTGCAGGGTCACCTCGCTCAGGTGAGAACCCCCCGCCTCCGCGCCCACCCCCCACTGCCCACCGCCGAACAACTTGGGAGTCCTGACCACGGGTGCTTCCTTGGCTTGGGGTGGGCTCCTTTCGTTTTTTTTTCTTTTTGGTCTTTTCAAATCTTTATTTTGTGACAGTTTGATTTTCGACAAAGAAACATGGTATACATTTTTTTATTCCAATAGATTTAGAGGGCTACAAGTGTTTTTTGGTACATGGCTACACTGCGTCACGCTGAAGTCAGGGCTTTCAGCCACCAGAACTGTGTACATTGCATCCGATAGATAGATATTTATCCCTCAACCCTCTCCCATCCTCCCCCTTCTTAGTCACCAATGTCCTTTACGCCACTTTGTGACTGCATACGCCCCTCGATGAACTCTCACTAATAAGTGAGAACACGTGATATTATTTTTTCCATTCCTGAGATACTTCACTTAGGATAATGATCTCCAGTTCCCTCCACATTGCTGCAAAAAAACATGATTTCATTCCTTTTTATGGCTGAGTAGTACTCCATGGTATGTATGTATATCAATC